TTGAAGCTAGGTTTAAAGGTATTCTAAAGGGCAAGTTCTACCAGGTACTTGACAGGTAGGTGGAAGAAAGAAACCTATCTAAATGTAATGTTTGATACATTTGTATTCTGTAAAATCAGAAAGTTTCCTTTAAAGTAGAACAATGAGAATTTAGTAATGTCAGTTTTCTAACCTATTGTAAGAACATAAGTTTCAAGGAGAAATAGGGGGTGAAGAAGGAGGAGAGAGAAAGAAAGAAAAAGCAAGAAACTTGCATGATATTCTTAGGTGTGAGGTCATTAGAAATTTGGTAGATATGTTTGTCAGTATATTTTGTGTTGTTTGTTTCCAAGGAGATAATTTGGATGCATAGTTGTGGCAGTGAACTTAATTTTCATTTAAAATTAAGTCTGAATTTCAGCTGCTTATAAAGTGTATGCAAAGGCTATTTCTCTGCTATCTGTGTTGCAGTCATTAAAATTTTGATATTTGGGGCCAGAGCAGTAGTACAGTTGGTAGGGCACTTGCTTTAAATACAAAAGGTTCTTGGAATATCCTATCAATGATTTTCCTTAATTACCAAATTAAGTAGCCTGTCCTTGCTAATACTATTGGAATATAGTTCAATTAAGTCAGATTCAGTTATTCTCTACAACTTGGTGGGATCTAACTGGTAAAAGGTAAAGGTAAAGGCCCTCCCGTTGATCGTCGATTTGCTCGAGCGGGCCCAGTAACGTCTCCATTGGAGACTTTGTTGTTACTGTGTCTGGCATATCGAATACTCTCGGTAGCTTGCCGGGCTCTCCGAGAGGGGCGGAGGAATCGAACTCGGGTCGGCCATGTTGGCCGCTTGTAAGGCGAACGCCCTACCCACTGTGCTATCACTCCACTTGGGCTGGGCTGGGATCTAACTGAAGCTTGCAAAATCTTTAATTGCTTCAACTTTTGCTTTTTGTGGAGCCATTTTCGTTAGGTATGAATAAAGCTAGACTTTAAGGCGCATCTGTGGGGGGGCTGACAAGGCAGTATGGTAGGTAAAGCACTCACTTTGTATACATTCAACCGTGGTTCTATCCCTGGCACTCAATATGGTTCTCCGAGCCCCACCGGAAGTGATCCTTGAGCAGAGAGTCAGGAATAATCTCTATGCACTGCCAGAAGTGGCCCACAAACAAACAAAAAACCCGTAATATTTAACTTGTTCAGAAACTGAATATACTATATCTAAAGTTCAGTCTTTCAGAGAAATGTTTTGAAATGGTAGTTTGAAATGCTAAGAAAGTTCACAGAGTCTTATGAACAAGACACCCTTATCCAAGTGAAAATAGACTAAGATAGTGTTACATTTTGTTCATTGGAAGTAGCAGTGTAGCACTGTCCTCCCGTTGCCCACTGATTTGCTTGCCTAGTAACATCTCCATTGTGAGACTTCTGGTTACTGTGTTTGGCATATCGAATACATCACAGGGAGCTTGCCAGGCTTTGCAGAGTGGGCAGGATACTCTTCGGTAGCTTGCTGGGCTCTCCCAGAGGGGCGGAAAAATCTAACCCGACTCAGCCAGGCTGGCCGCGTGCAAGGCAAATTCCCTACTGCTGTGCTATCGCTCCAGTCCGTAAGGGAGTAAAATTAGATTAAACAAATGCTAAGATCTTTAACCAGTTTAATAGAGACTAAAGTTAATAGTCAATGGAATAAAATAATGGAGACGTTACTGGGCCCGCTCAAGCAAATCGATGAACAACGGGAGGACAGTGACAGTGACAGTTGAATTCTTAGTTTTTTTTCCCCTAGAAAATAATTTTATTTTAAATTATTCATCCCTCTGTAAAGTATTTAAGTGAACATGGTGACAGATCCTTCTGTCTCTTTGACTGCTGACATCAGATGCATCTTAGTGTCAATGCTTTTCCCACTCATTGTTTTGTATTTGGTTCCTGGAGGTTGAACCCAGGGCCCTTCATAAGTGCTGGGTATATCTCCAGCCCTTCTCCACCTACCTTATTTCTTGAACTTATTAAAGCATTTTCATAAATGGAATACTTAGCTATTGTTATTCACTAATAAGATAAGGGACATGCTTATATAAGTTTTATTTTTTAAAAAAGAACTAATTGCAAAAGTAAGTAATTGATTTCAAAGCCTATGTATCTCTAATAGCTGTGAGTGTTTTTACCCTGTTCCTGGCCAAAATTTTAGTAAATAAACAGTTAGTTATTTCCTAATATTTCTGTGTGTATACCTGGAGAAATTTGGCTGAATAGTTTGTTTTGATCTGTTATTCTGAAAGTAACAAAACATGGTATATAGTCAAAATACTTCATTTAAGACACTTTTAAGTTTGATAAAGATTATATTTCTTATTTGAAATTCTTTATGTATTTAAAGAAAAGATACTACATAAATGTGGTGAATTGTTTGTGATATTTTTGGAAGTGGGGTGGTTTTGGGCCACACCTAGCTGTTCTCGGGGTATACTCCTGACTCTGCACTCAGGGATCACTTCTGGCAGGATGTTGGGGGCCATGGGACATGTCCCAGGTCCACCATGTATAAAGCAAGCACTTTATCTACTGTACTATCTCTCTAGACCTAGTGATACCTCTTAATGTGAACTCTAGTTTTATTCATGCATAATGAAAAGAGTACTATATAAGGCAAGTGTTTAAGCAATTGAAGATTTTGGAAACTCCAGTTAGATCACAAGTAATACAGAATACTGTGAGTCTGGTTTAATTCAACTATATTTCAATAGTATTAGCAATGGCAGACTTCAGCAGAATTAAGCAATAGGTACTTAATTTGCTAAAGATAATTATTGATAGGATCTTTCAAGAATTCTTTACTTAGGTATTTAAAATGTGTCCTCTTGCATGTAGACATATATGTATGCCTATGGTCACACATTATCTTTATAACATAAAGGCAAGCTTCAACACAAACTATATTCAATAATATGAATGTTTTATTGTGTACTTTATAAAAACATGAAAATCATGTACACCATAAGGCACTATAAGGTTAAAGTAACAACTTTAATGAGTAAGCCTATTTCTTTGGTTATTTTATCTTTTGGTAAAGTTATTCCATTGATTATGTTCTCTTACCTTTTGTAAGGCCTTTCATTATTTTCTTAAGTTTTGCAATTAGGAACAATTTTAACATGTCTCAGAATTTATCTGTACCCTATATTTTAAGATAGAGCTGTACATTAATTTTCTTTTTCTTAAAGATTGCAACATTTTTCATTCATTTGAAAACTCATAAGCCTGTATTAAAATAGTTGACCATGGGATGGAGATAGTTTAAATGAAAGTGAGATACGAAAGTCAAATGGGAAAAATAAAAGCACACTTTTCCTAGTTGACTGTGTGTGTGAGTGGGGGGCAGTGGTTAGGGTAAAAGCAATCCAACCCTACAGAAATAGTATTTTATAGAGACAACCCAAAGAAGATGGGACCAAATAAATAATTTTCTTTTTTGTCTCGTGAGTGAAATGGATGCATGCAAACATAGAATAATTCTTCTAGCTCCAGGAATCTTGTTACTTGTATTTGTGGGTTTTTTCCTTAACATAATCTATAGTTAAAATATAAAGAACTGTAAAGATTTTATTGATAGTTCATACATAATTTATAGTTAACACTAACACAAACTCTGTTCTTGTTAACAGAAAGACTGTAAGCAATATTGGTTCCTTAAAGGTTTTTATTTTTATTTTTAGATGTATCAGCAAATGTGATCTGCAATTCCTCATACACTGAGGGGAGGCGGGGAGAGACTTTATACAGTGGGAACAGTGTGTCTTCTTGGGGTGGCTACAGGGATGGCTCCGTCATAATTATTTCTATTCCAAGTTCTCTGGTATCAGTTAAGCATACTTGGCATGAAAAGAGGAAGGTTGTAAATGAATTCCACAGCCAGAATCTTGAGGGAAATGATGCAATCTTTGTGCTCCGTTTTGTTTTCCTTGGGTCCATGCACCCACGGACACATTTTCAGGCGCTGAGGTGGCAGGTAGCATTGGGAGTACAGCAACTGTTTTAATTACCAGAATCTTCCTGTAGAGCAACTGAATTTCATGGTGGTGGGAGTGAGGGTCCAGAGTTTCCTCCTCCCCAAGTCAATTGGTTGGTAACTATGGCAATTTAGAATGTAGAGAATGTTGTGTTTAAAGCATGCTAGTTCGTATATTTAGATGCAGCCCCTGAACTTTCTCTAGAGAAAATATTATTAAAGAAAACTATTCTTGATTCAATCCAGATCACCTCTCATGAAGAATAAATGTGTAAAGGAGCAGAAGGAACTTTTGTTCTGGTACTTTCAGTGAGCTATCCCAGACAGATCACTCATCCCCCTGAACTATCCCAGCAAAGAGCACTCGTGTTCCAGGGGCTTCCTGGTCCTGTTTCAGGATGTGGCTTCGCTGTTAAGTCTTGTCCCACTGTTGCCCCCGAGAAGGAACTGTCCTGAATTTTATAGAGGCTGTAAAGAAATCTCTTAACATTTTTGAAAAAGAGAAAGACTTCAATCAAACAAATTAACACAAAACCAAGAAGGACAAGAAGAATCTCTTCTTATTTCTTTATTGAATACATGATGCTCCTATGCATGATGAAAAATAATCATTTAATTTCTTGGTATGATTTGGTAGATCATCTTAACTGTTTTTCAGTAACAGAAATATGCCTTTTTTTATCATTCCCGTGTTTTATCATTTCAGTGTGTATATCTGATGCCTTGTTTCCTTCAGAGATTGTTATTTTGTTAAACCTGTTGTAATATATAATCTATTTTAGTAATATTATATTGGATCTATTTTTCCTATTGTTAATACAAAACAGCAAATTTGAAGACTGGCAACCATGATGCTTATGGTTCTCACAGGGTGGTGATGCTTAAATGTGCCAAGATTTGAATTCTTCTTTGTGTGTGAGTCTGACCAACCAGCCTTATATCGATTTCTGTCATACACTGTCAAATCTTCTATTTAAGTATTGTGAAAACTCTTTGTTTTTTTCAGGTCGAATGAATGATTTGAGTGTAATTGGTCATCCAATAGATTCAGAATCTAAAGAAGATGAACCTTGTAGTGAAGAGACTGATCCAGAGCATGAACTAATTTTACCTCAGTACATTGAAATAGATTTATACCACAGTGAAGAGGATGAAGAGGAAGAGGAAGACTGTGAAAATGCTACTGATGTAACCACTACTCCATCAGTGCAGTACATAAATGGGAAGCATCTTGTCACTACCCTGCCCAAGGACCCAGAAGTGGCAGAAGCCAGGCGCGGCCAGTTTGAAAGTGTTGCGCCTTCTCAAAATTTTTCAGAAAGCAGTGAAAGTGATACTCATTCATTTATAATAGATGAAAATGGATTGTCTACTGGTCTACAGCCTAATGAATCTATAGAAACAACAGAATCATTTGAAATCCCATGGATACCTGAAATTCAGTCTGAAATACCAGAACATTTTTCCAGTGGTGAGACTGATGCTTTCCCCACAGCTCCATTTCAGGAGCAAGAAACCACAGAGGAGCCAGAATCCATTACAAAGGGAACACCTGAGCTGGATCGTCTGGTACCTGAACACACCAATCCTCCAGCTCTGTTTCCTGAAGAGTATTCAGGAGATGCCACCATTGACCAAGAATCTCTGAAAACTGTCATTTCAAGGGCCACAGAAGTAACATTTGGTGAAGAGGCAGGAAAAAGTGATTCTATCATATATCCTCTAAGTGTAACTTCAAGTTCTCCATCAGCAAATATTTCAGAGGAAGTATCAGTCACCTTAGCAGGAAATTCATGGTCTGATGATCCAGTATCCACCATAGAGAGCTGGATGGAAGCAACCCCTCAACAGATTGTTGAATTCTCAGGGAATCCTTCAGTTCCTGTTCCAGATGGCTCTGGAGAAGCAGAAGAAGATAATAAAGATAAAATCTTCACCATAGAAACTGATTTATCACCAAAAAGTACCACAGACACACTCAAAATCTTAGATACCAGCAATGGCATGATTACAGAAAACCTTTTTAATGTTCCTGTGACCTCTATTTATTCTGTTTCTGAACAAAATTCTGCAGAAGTAGAACCTACCAAATCCGTAAGGGAAACAGACACTTCCACCTGGGTGTTAAGCACATTTCTTGAGGGAAAGACAAGGAAAGATGAGGAAGAAGGATTTACAGGTACATCCTCAACAGTTGAGGTGTTTTCACCTACCCAAAGATCAGACCAATTATTTTTACCCTCTGAACTTGAAAACAAAAATGAAGCTACATCTGGTGATTCACCATTTGTTACCAGGAAAAGTTTTGTGTCCTTGACAACACCCACACAGTCTGAACAGGAAATGTCAAGTTCTCTTCTTGTCTTCACAGAAACAAATGTTTTAGACAATATGGGGACTGAGAGCTCTGAATCCAGGATTAGCAATCAATCTGGTATACTGAAAGGGTTGTCCACTGCATCAGGGAGTCCCTTTATGGAGCACGGATCTGGAGAAGCAGCCACTGACCTAGAAGTGACAACTGTTTCTTCGTTTTCATTACATTTTGAGCCTGAAATTCAGACCAAAAAGGAAGCAGCTGGCACACTGTCACCCCAGGTGGAAAGTGAATTCTCTGTTGAGCCAAAAGGACTAGTTTCAAGTACAGAAGTGGACAGAGAGGCTACTAAAATTCTAAGTCGAACATCTAAAGAAAATCCATTTTCAGAGGGCTCAGGTGCACCTGATTACGAGGCAGAAATTAAGTTCTTTCCTACAGATTTTCCTCTGGAGGAAGATTTTAGTGGTGACTTTAGAGAATATTCAACAGTATCTTACCCCGTTTCAAAAGAAGAAATGGTAGTGCCAGAAGGCTCTGGGCATGCAACACTTAAAGATTTCCAGATTGAGCCGTCTGTAATACCTAGTTCAGATCACATTGATCACATGGCTGACTTGGAAAGAACTGACAGTACCTTAATCAGCACATCAGCCTTCCCTTGGGAAGAGTTCACAGCATCTGCTGAGGGTTCAGGTGAACACTTGGTCTCAATTAGCAGCTCTGTTGAACAAGTGTTTCCCAGTGCGCCGGGATATGTTTTAGGTAAAGATTCACCATCTATTGACCAAGGTTTGGGAGAAGCAGGTTCTATTAACAGCTCTGATAAAAGATCCACAATTTTACCAACAATAGAAACTGAAGATACTGAAGTGAAGTTCTCTGGCACAGTTGTTACGGACTTTCCTCAAACTATGGGGCCAGCCAAATTATGGTCTAGGCAAGAAACTAATCCTGTTAGACAAGGAATGAAAAGTGAAACAGCTTCAGAGGAAATGATTAAAGAACAGAAACAATTTGAATCACTCCAAGGCTCTGTGGCTCCAGAACAAACAAGTTTTGATTCACAAATATTTTCTGAAACAGGACTCAGTACGACAGATTATTCTATGCCATCAACAAAGAAAACTTATGATGCTGTTAAGGAAATTGAAGAGGAAGGGATTTCCTCAATTGATGTCTCTTCAGATCCAGATGTAAAGACCTTGGAACTCTATACTACTCACCCAGGAGTTGAGGAAATAACTCATTTTTTCTTACCTACTACCTCAGTGACTCAGTCTACAGCAGCTGAAAGTGTAATTACAGATTCATTAATCAAAGAGGAAGAAGGTATTAAACCCTTTCCCAAAGTTACAAGACCAACAATTACAGAGTCAGACGGCGATGTTTTATTTTCTGGACTAGGATCAGGAGAAGTCATGTCTACTATAGCATCTGTGAGTTTTCCTGAAACAGAACATACCATTCACACACTATATCCTCTAACTTCTCAAGTGGAGATTTTAGAAACAAGCGTTTTAAGTGATACAGTTGAAGACAATGTAGGAACAGAAAATGTGCCAAATGGTATTAGATCATCCACTAGATCATCCATTACCCAAACAGACAACATCTCTGAAAACATTGAAACTGCATCTAGCATAACTTTACTGAAAAATTTAGGTGACACCAACAAGAAAGAACCCACCAAGGCACCTTTCATTTTCTCCACAGGCACCAAACAGGATCAAAGGCATACTTTCAGCTGGGCAGAAGAAATACAGACTAGTAGACCACAACCTATGACTGAACAAGCTTCTGAGGAGAATTTGTCAGCAGCAGAAACAAAAGAAACAGTAACCTCCCCCACTGAGTATCTGACTAGAACTTATGATCTTGAAATGGCCAAGGGAGTTGAAACATCATCCCCTAAACCTGCTAATTTGTTTTATGAACATTCTGGGGAAGGATCTGGGGAATTTGATATGGTTGATTTAGTTCACACTTTTGGAACTACTCAGGCAACCAGTCAAGGAAATCCTACATTTGTTTCTGATAGATTCTTGGGAAAACATTCTGAAGTGCCAAGTATTGATGGTGCTACTGTTGATGGATTCCCAACAGTTTCAGTGGTGCTACCTCTTCACTCAGAACAGAATGAAAGCTTCTCTGATTCAACTAACACACCCTCAACTACAGTGTCATATGAGAGGTCCCCAGAAGGAATTTCTGGTAGTTTTCAAGACCATTTCAAGGAGTCCACCTTAAAACCTAACCGAAGAAAAGCCACTGAAAATATTATTATAGATCTGGACAAAGAGGACAAAGATTTAATGTTAACAATTACAGAGAATCCCATCCTTGAAATTCTACCTGAACTGACATCAGATAAAAATACTATCATAGATATTGATCACACTAAACCTGTGTATTCAGACATCCTTGGAATGCAAACAGACATAGATTCAGAGGCATCACATGGCACTAATGAAGAAGGCCCTCAAGTTCAAGAGATTTTTGAGACATCTGTTAATCTTTCTTCAACTGAGGAAAACTTTGAGAACTCTGGTGAAATTCCGACTAGTTACAGTCAGGCCATGCATACTGAATTGATGACTTCTGAAGACAGAACCCAATTCGATCCCATGGGCTTTGTCTTCTCCACCAGGATCCCTGTCCCCAGGACAGAAACAGAATTAGATATTTTATTTCCCACAGCATCATCCCTACCTGTTTCTAGTAAGTCTACCACAGTTAATGCAGAGATTGAAGAATCCAAAATTGAAGCAAAAGCTGTAGACGACATCTTTGAATCTAGCACACTATCTGATGGTCAAGCTATTGCTGACCAAAGTGAAATAATATCAACATTGGGCCATTTGGAAAGAACACAGGATGAGTATGAAGAAAAAAAACATGCAAGTCCTTCTTTTCAGCCAGAATTCTCTTCAGGAGCTGAGGAGGCACTGATAGATCCTTCATCCTATGTAAGTATTAGTACTACCCACCTTATGACTCAGAGTTTAACAGAAGCACCCAATGTGATGAAAGGATCCAGTCCCCCAGATAACACAGATAGAACGTCAGAGGTTTATGCTTTTGCAAAGATGACTTCGAATATACCAGCCTCTCCTTTCACTGCCCTTTTAGACCGGGAAACCTCTGAACACACAGGGGATGCCCAGCCAAGTGTTCTGCCAAGTACAGAGGCCAACACTGCACAAATACCTCCAGGAAAACATTCAAATCTTGAAGTACCTTCCAAACCACCTAGTGAAGAGATAACTGAACTTCCCTCTGATTCTCCAAACACAGTATTAGGACTCTTGGAAGACTACAATCAACCTAAGTTATTAGAACAAACAGAAGCTTTGCCCATAGAACTAGTCACTGAAGAAGGAATTGAGATTGTCCCAGATTCCCCCTACAAAGACAATGTTCAACTTTCTAGAGAAACAGTCAAGGTACTTCCTAGCGTTACAACACCTGAGTCTGGAACTGTTGTCACAACTGATGGTGAAATTAAGTTACAAGGTGCTGTGCTGCGGCCATATTCTACTGCTGCTTCTGTGACTTACAAGGTAGAGACTGATGTGCCTGGGACCTCTGAGAGGCCCACAGTTCCTTCTCAGGAAATAAACCTTGAAACACAAGCAATTTTGGTCAAAGGGGTGGATTCCACAGTAGCAGCAACAGAACAACAAGTATCAGTGAGAATTCTTGATTCCAATAGACAGGCAACAGTAAGCCCTGCAGAGTTAAATACTGAGCTTGTGACACCATCATTTCCCCTTCTGGAAAATTCTAATGAAACTGGTTTCCTGCTTGGCATTAATGAAGAGTCAGTGGAAGGCACAGCAGTTTATTTACCAGGTAAGGTCACAGCATTGATAAATCTGTTTCCAAATTTGGAAACAGTCCTTGCTTCTAACATCTCTCTTTTTATATGTATATATATACATATATATATAATTTTTTTATTGTGGTGTTAATTTGGTGAATATTTTTGTGCTGTTCACATGACAACATATAGGCTGTAGTACTGTTTTTGATATATAGAAAAAGTAAGTATAGTTTTATTTCTGGGGTTTATAAGTATTTGTGTTTTTCTGGACTTTAAAAACAACATATAATTGCAATAGAAAAAATTGAAAATTTTTAATGGTGTAAGACTTTGTTTTACTCACAACTAAAGTGTTGATTTGACATCCGTAATTTTAAATCTCACACTTAAAAACACAAATATATTTTTAAAAACTCTCATTAACAGGCAGTAGCAGAGTATGTTAGGCCTTGTGATTCTGTGAGTAGAAAAGAGCTCTAATAATAAATATTTCACAGTTTTTACATACCCAGTATCAGTGCACACCTTTATGTAGTTTCATTTCTTGAGATAGTTTTAACACAATGTCTAGCCATAGTTGATATTCATTCGATGTATAATAATGATCTTGTGGGTTTTTTTTAAACTGAGTAATCAGAAAGCCTGAAGCATTTCTCTGTTTTTTTTTTGTTTTTTTTACTGAGTAATCAGAACGCTGAAATGATAATGTTTCAGTATAAACTATAATTTGAATTTCATCTAAAGAGGCAGGATGGGAGTTTTCAGAGAGGTTCTGTAGCTTGCTAAATGTTGCACAGCTATGCATACAAAAATGTGGCAAAAGTGGTAGGATTTGAACCTTCCTCAACCTGACTCCAAAGCCCATGATAAGTTCTTTCCTTTTCTTTGTTCTGGCTCTTTTGGTCACACCAGTGATGTTCAGGGGTTAGTCCTGGCTCTGCAGTCAGGAATCACTCCTGGTGGTGCTCAGGGGACCATATGGGATGCTGGGGACTGAACCTGGGTTTGCAGTGTACAAGGCAAATGCCCTGTCTGTCGTACAATATATTGCTCAGGCCCCAAAACCCATATAATTTCGCTGCTCTTTGTTGGTTTCCTGTTAGTACAGCATAAAAATGAACCATTTCTATTTATTGATATGTAAACTGGAAAGAGTGGAAGTTTATTTTGTAGAAATTTTTTCCCTTTTAATCTTGCACAATAATGTTGAGAAATCAATATCTTCTAGGAGCTTCATTAAAGTATTAGTAGAAGAAGGTACTGTGGAGTAACCATAACCACTTTCCTGCTTCCTAAGAAAAAAAAACAAAGCAGTACATCAAAGACTGTGTTAGCTGAAGACATTTTATTTTAGTGAAAATGTTGTATGACTTGGCTATACTTTAAATTATTTGATCATATCAACATTATCTTTCGAGTCACTAGTTCTTCAGTTTGATGTACTTTCAGATAGAATAAAATGGCAATACTGTTAGTTTTTATATAGCTTGAAATGTTTTATGAATAAAATTGATCAAATGTTGTTGAAGGATTTTCTGTTTTCACTATTTTATCTCTAAATGATACTCTAGTAACTGAGGTAACATTTATTTGTTTTTATTTATTTATTTTTTTTGGTACAGACCTGACTAAGGTCTTACTCCTGGCTCTGTGCTCAGTGATCACTACTAGAGGATTCAGGGGACCAAATGGGGTGCTGGAGATCATCGGTCGACTGTGTGTTAGGCAAACACCTTCACCACTGTATTATCTTTCCATTCCCAACATTTATTCATTTGTAATTTAATTGAGATATGTTTTAGGTTGGTGAAAAATACAATCTAGAGAAAATACTATTGATAATAATTATGTTCGTTCAGGAAAGATGGGTTTGACAAATGAAATACATACTTATTTTCCAATCCATGTTTACCAAGATTAGAACTTGCGTCTTCACTGCAAAATAAATGTTCCCTTTTAACTAATACTGCAAACAACAGTTCATTTGTGTTGCCTGGTCTATCTGTTCTGGATTCAGTTCCCTACAGCCAGGAAGAATAAAATTAAAATTTTTTAAAAAAGAAAAATACTTTTCTCCTAATCGAAATCTCTTAAAGTTTATAGAAAACCCACATTCTTACCAAGTCCTGTCTTGTACTCTAAGTATGGTGTCCAGCGTCTGTGATGGGAATAACATTAAAACTTCACATTTCTGTGGCAAATAGTTTTATCTAGTACCTTCAAATAATTCTTATCTTGGTTGAACACTGAGAGCAGCATGTGGATTTCTTATTGACTATAGTCTGTCTTATGGGCAATGTATTTTCACAAGCAGGAATTTAGAACTATAAAAGAAGATTTTTTAAAAAATTAAACTAGATGTCGAAGAAGCAGGTGTAAGCATCTGAACCGACATTGTAAAGTTGAACCCCTTATACATCAGAGTGTATGTATCAAGTCCTTTTAGTACACCAGAATTTACTTAACACTCAGAAAGTTTGACCTTTTCCTAGAAAAGGTTCAGTTATCTTTTACAGCAATAGGTCATTTATCCTAATGTCTTTTGAGTATACATTTCATGATTAGACAAATTAATTTTCCTATGTAGATCTTTTGGGATCTTGAGATAATATTCCTGAGATATGAGTTTATTTAATATATAACCTATGTTTTTCAATTGTTTTTTAAGACAACTCTCATTTGAGTTCTTGAATTCGTTAAAATTTAAGCTATTTTGAAAATATATTCTAATAAGCTCATGCAATGAAGAAAATTATCCAAGCGATTTTACAGAATATAAATGTGCAGCAAGTAGTTTAGATCACTGTATTCAGGAAAAAAATGTATTTTAGATAATTTTTTCTTATAATTTTGTGTTTCTGGCATTTATATTTTTCTGCTGGGAATGGCCTTTTTATATATATGTCTTAAAGAGAAAACTGTAATAAAAATCTGGGTCTTATTTTAGGTGAAATTTTTGTGTTGGGGTTTGTTTTTATACAGTAGAGTTTAATCCATGTGTTGCTTTTCTTTAAGTATAGTTTAAAGGAGTACATGTGGAACGTGTTTTTGGAAAAAAAATCATATTAATGTAGCAGAAGACATCTCAGTGCACACTTTCGAAGAAAAAGTTTCTGAGCATTAAGTGGTAAAAGGCAATAATAATTCAAATGATGGTAACAAGCCAGTCTGCTAAAAAGAATGCATGTTTTGTGTATCCAGCCATTTCACATGAACTAACCTCGTTTTAAAGAATACATTTCCATTCACTGTGCACATGTGTAATCATTTTTGACTAAAATCAATTGCCATTATCATGCCAACTAAATCTGCAGTAGTGTATAGTAGTTGCCAGATATTGTACAAAAAATTCTTTTAAAGATAATTATGATTGAATCCAGAAATGAATAGATGCAATTTGTAACAGTTATAATGCCAAGAAACACTCCAGAGATTTAAGTTAATGCTAATTTTTCTGTGTAGACTCTCTAAATTGTTATGGTTAAGTGAAGCTTATATTATGTAATAATAAGTGGCACTTATGCTAAAATACACTGACACTTAGCAATGAACCTAATTTTTTTTTCCTGCTTTCCTGTACATGATAGGAACTGATCGTTGTAAAACAAATCCGTGCCTTAATGGAGGCACCTGTTATCCTACTGAAACTTCCTACGTGTGCACCTGCGTGCCGGGATACAGTGGTGACCAGTGTGAACTAGGTAAGATATTCTTGGCTGAAAGAGTATATGTTTCTGGAAGCTATATTACAGAGAATTTGCATGACCAGGATCAATCTGCGACTGTCAGAGAACAGCATGTAAAGAAAAACTTTTATCTAATTAAAAGATTAAAATCATATCTTTATAGAGTCACTGTCACTGTCACTGTCCTCCTGTTGTTTATCGATTTGCTTGAGCAGGCCCAGTAACATCTCCATCCTGAGACTTGTTGTTACTGTGTTTGGCAAATAGAATATATCAGGGTAGCTTGCCAGGCTTTGCCGCGTGGGCGAGATACTCTAGGTAGCTTGCCGGGCTGTCTGAGACTGGCGGAGGAACGGGCCAGCTGCGCACAAGGCAATTGCTCTACCGCTGTGCTCTTGCAAAATCTTCATAGAATATTTTAAGTAATATCTGGGAAGAAGTGAGAGGTGTTTATTGAATTTTGTTAAACCTAAGACATACAGAGATCAGCTATGTCGGTGTGTGTGTGTGTGTGTGTGTGTGTGTGTGTGTGTGACTGATAGGCATTCCAAATGTCGAGGTGCGTACATATTAACCAAAAAGCAGAAAAGGAATTTGCTGCTCAAATAGACACATTAATAAGCAAGCAGTTTAAATATCAAAATTTCATAGTTAAATTCATTAAATTAAAAATCAGTGAGTTTAGTTTAGTGTTCTGAGACAGCTTGCTCTTCTGATGTGGGGTGAGAAATAACTTTCTTTTGATAGCAGCCTAATGACCTTTACCTTAGAGATGGCTTGAATTCATGAACTCTTCTCTTTTTGGTTCCAAGCAATAAAATTTGACTCTTTATTAAATCAGTTACTTTTACTCCCATTCTTATTTAGTTTTCTATTTATTATTTAAAAAAAAAACTCTAGTTTTTATATACTTTAATGTAAAACTCATCTCTGAGAAAAGAAATGATGCAGTATATTGGAAAGATGTTCCTTCTGGAAGTAGCTTGATGGTTTCCTCATAATGACTATTAAAAATGTTCACAGGTAACACTTTATATTAAATAAAAATGTTTGGTGGAATGTTTCCAATATTCATGTTAAAAGATCATTTGCCTTAAAAAAGTAAAGGAGCTTGTAAGCTCAATTCATGTTATAACATGAATAGAGGAAAAACTATGTAATATTTAAGGAAAAATTACATTTTAAATGGAGATGCATGAAATACAATATATAAGCATACCAGCATCTATCTGTTCCCAAATCTGCTTTAATTTAAATCAATTAAAATAACATAATGAATCAGTGTATATGAAACTATACACTGAACAAAGCTAACTGATACACAGAGACCACAAACTACAGAATGCGCTTGCATTCTGCCTTTATGTTTGCTTACTTATGTGCTTCTAGGAGAGAAGCATATTGGCAAAGAAAATACTAGAAATTTGTTTGGATCCCAAAGATCCTAATTCCACTGCACTGAATAGTTTTAATTCTTACTAATATTGGGTGATTCTGGGACTTGAGCATGCAGCAGAATCAACTGGAGGGTTGGGTAAAGCACAGGTTTTTGTTCCCAGACTCTGAGTATCTGCTGCATACCTGGGCCTGGGTAGGCCAGGGAACATGTATTTTTCACGTTCTTCAGCAGTGCTGATGCTGCTCCTGTAGGAACTACACTTTGAGAATCTCTGCCCCAGAGAGTTGGGTTCACTGGAAGGTTTTTGAAGCCAAAAATTAAAAGTCCTGTAATGATGTCTAAAGAAGCAGAGGAAAAAGATGTGTTATTTCAGGAAGCTCCCAGTGGCACTGAGGCCAGTATCACAGTTTCAGTATTCCCTATGTGGTGTACATAGAGCATGAGCTAGGCCTGCAAGTGAAAGCACTGTAGCACTGTCCTTCCGTTCTTCATCAATTTCCTCGAGCTGGCACCAGTTACGTCTCACAACAAATTGTGAGACTTGTTGTTACTGTTTTTGGCATATCGAATATGCCATGGGGAGTTTGCCAGGCTTTGCCGTGTGGGCGAGATACTCTGGGTAGCTTGCTGGGCACTCCGAGAGGGGTGGAGGAATCGAACCCAGGTCGGCCGCATGCAAGGGAAATACCCTACCCACTGTGCTATTGCTCCAGCCAGCAAGTGAAAAGAGCTAGGGAAAATCTATCAGTTGTAGGTCCATCTAAAAGCATGCGGTTCCTCCAAAAGTACTGTAGACAATGACCCTCCTCAATAGTATTGCAACTGTTCCTAGGAATGTGAACTTTAGCATTTGAAACACTATTTTACTTCTGAAATTCAGATTAAAAAAGAATTATTTTCTTTAGCATAATTATTCCCTCAATACAAGACTTGTACTAAAAATATATTTTTTTAAAAATTAAATTTCAGGATCCTTTAGCACATAGGTCATTTGCTTGCACACAGCTGGCCCGGGTTTGACTCTGGCACTCCATATGTTCACCTGAGCAGCACCAAGAGTGATCCTTGAGTGCTGAGTCATGAGTAAGCCTTGAGCACTGCTGGGTGTGGCCCCCAAACAAAACAAAACAAATCAAAACAAAAATTGAAATTCCAAATGAATAAACCCTAGTGTTTTATCTGTAATAATGTCCTAAATAGTTTTTGACCTTATTTGACAATTCTTCTATAACTTTTTAAATTTTATTTTAGATTTTGATGAATGTCACTCTAACCCCTGTCGCAATGGAGCCACATGCATCGATGGGTTTAATACATTCAGATGTCTCTGCCTTCCAAGCTATGTTGGTGCACTTTGTGAACAAGGTCAGACTTAATGTGTAACATTTATAATAATTCATATTGATTCTTCAAGTGTTGCTTCCAGAATGCTTTTTGTTATGATGATTTTGATGTTTTAGTATTTTTAACTAGGCTGTGTCTTCTGTACTACAAAGAAAATTCAAATTAGCTTTCCATTAGGTAACTTTATTTACCTTTATTATTTATTTATTTATTTATTTATTATTTAACTCACAATATCCAAAGAGTACCTTGAGTTGGTGGGCTATTGTTATTTTGCTCATAGAATGGAATTGCAGACAGGCACATTAAATTCAGCGTAATGACCTCTAGCCAATAAAAAATATATTGTTGGTATTCACGCTGGGGAAAAACTAGGCACGGACCTTTATGCATGTGACTTATACAAAGGTGTACTTCATTGTTAATCGCCTTTATCAACCTCTTCCTCCCAAACATTTGAGAACTGATTTATATTTTTGCAACAATTGCTGAAAAATGAGTTGTATTTAGTTTTACCTTAGCAAACACTAGATAAAAAATACTGAAAATCCACTTATCGGGTAATGTTTCTCCTATGGAAGCATCTGCATTTTTTGACTGCAAGAAAGGCTTATGTTGCTCTTTGCTGGAATCTCATGGTCCCTATAATTTGTATTTTATGGTCAACCTAAGAGTATATTCTGAGTGGTAAATGGTACACAGAAACAGATTGGATGCCCATCGTACTCAACTTAGAACATTAATTTCCTCTACATAAAGTCCTGCAGTGGTTTTGCTTTGACAAAAGTGCTTAGTGCCAAGCTTCCACTCCACCAGACACATTGAAAATATATTAGACACTCAAACACATAAGTCTGGCCCCACATTCTGTTTTGCAATGTTAATCCAGACTTCATCACAGTTAAGGAAAAACTAAAAGGAGCCTATTGAATTGTCAACTGATGCAATTGGGGAATGGCTCAGTTTTTAGGATCATTTTTTTCTCTTTATTGCTTGGGATGTATGTCTTAGAATTTTTGAAAGTTTAATATAAGGCCCTCTTCTTAAAAGAAAACAAGAAATCAGATGCTATTTGTTTAAAGAAAAAAATATGTCAAGGGTTTCAACTACATTTAATTGATTCTAGATTTCCTTATTTCCATGAACAAAGAATATTTTTTTAGAAAGTGTTTCATCATCAAGCATTAGTTGAACACCTACTATATTCCAGGTTCTCCTTTGCAAACTGGAGGTAAGGGCTCTGAACAAAGCAAAATCGCCAGTTTAGTTGATTCTGCATGATGAATTGGCAGGGAATAGAGAAAAAGTGATAGTTATTCAATATATTCTATAGTTTACCAAATGCTTGCAGGTGGATCATTTTGATTGGTTGACACAGTACTTCTGTGTTAAGTGGGTCAGAAATTGAGGCTCAGTGAAGAAAAGTGAGGTTCTCAAGGTCACACAGCTAGTAAGTTAAAGAATGGGCAAAGTCAAAGACAGTTGAAATGAAAAACATGAGTACTGGCCTTCAGTAGGAATATTGTGACTGGAGGAGGGAGAATGGAGAGGTCAAGGATGGAAACTCTAAGATAATGATGGAGGGAAGTGGTCACTCTTAAGGAGGATGGGGTTGTTGAAGGTAAGTTGACATGCCTCTTACCCTGTCAGTGACCGTTTAGTAAACCACAGTGCCTAAAACAATGATATTACTGTTATAGAGGCAGGCAGCATGGTGGGACGGAAACTGGGGACATTGGTGAATGTAGTAGACCCTCGTGAAGGCAGTGATGCTGGAACATTGTATGCCTGAAACTCAATCATGGATAATTTTGTAATTCACATCACTCAGTCGAAAAAAAGAAAGAGTACACAAAGTGAACCTACGTAGTCTTTTCTGGTTTTTGTTTGTTTGGGGCCACACAGGCAGTTAGTGTTTGCTCCTGGCTCTGCATTAGGGATCATTCCTGGTTGTGCTCAGAAGGACCATATGTGGTGGCAGGGATCGAACCCCACTGGGCATGTACAAGGAAAGCTCCTTACCTGCTGTACTACCTCTATGGTCCCTGTGTGATCTTTAAATATCCAGATTTTTCTTACTATCTTCATACTTATTGTTAAAATCTCAAAATTAAGCTTATTATGTATATGTTCATCTGATGAATTCAGTGTTAACAGGCCCTTCTAAGGGACTTTAGGGTCAGCTACTTTTTTCCACTCTTAAAAAATTAATAAAAATTATAACTATGTATCTCACTATGATTCAATTAAAAAATAAATTAATTAGAAAACAAAGCTAGAAAGCTGGGTTGGGACATAAGACCAGGATTAGGTCCACATGTTTTTCATAAACAGAGTCCCAGTTGGATTCCTAATACTAGATTGTTCCTGAACTTTACTGGATATATCCCTGGAGTCTCCAGAGCACCATGGGGGGTGGGGAGGGAGATAGGGGGATAGGGGGCAGTGTCTAGGGCAGGGAGGGGCAAACTTGGTGATCTTCAGAACTTGCAGACTCCTAATAGCACCGCATCTTTCGGCTCCAGCAATGAACTCCTGGCAAAGTACCATTGAAAGTAGACCATGGATTATCTGAGCATTTTTTTGGAGGTTCCCCTAACTAGTTTGAAAAAGAATAAGAGTAAAAACAACAGCAACGACAAAACATTACAAAATCAGTGGAATCCTAGCAAATAAAATTCGAGTTTTCTACCCCACCCCCAAAAATTACTAAATAAAATTTGTTTTTCTTTCATTTCTGGTGCCCTGTAATTTAATGACCTCGTTCCCTTCCCCCCATTAAAAATCGTAAAGCAATTTTAACATTTACCCATGTTACTTGGCTAGAACAATTCCTCCAGTCTTATTAGCAGATGCAGCTGTGTGCCTGTGATTTATTGCCAGGACAGCGAAATATTTTTTTTCCTCTTTTCAGGTTGCCTAAGAACAAATGTTTTCTTCATTAACAGCCGTACTATTGTCTAAACAGTTTTTCCATCCAATTTTTGTTGATGACTGTCACTGTTTCTTCAGCTGACCTTTTCTCTAGTCTGCATTAGTAACTTCGCAATTCCCAGTAACTCTGGGGCAGGATACACATTTTCCCTGAAACAATAATCTGTAAAATCCAAAAGAGGATCTTCGGACAGTTTAGAACACACAGATTGGTCCCAACCAAAGCTTTCCAGAGAGAAATACTTATAAGCGTTGACAATTTCTTAAAGCTTGATAATCATGCCTGAGGTGTTAGAAACATTAGCTATGTAGCACAAAGGAATGAATGTTTGAGTGGCACTGTTTCAGCCAGAGCTTCAGCTTCTGAGATCATAAATCGGACATGTATTTCCCCACATATCCCTTGTTTTGCACATAGGCAAAGCTTGCTCTGTGGGTTTTGTAGTATAACTTGTACGCCTTCAAAATCTTAAAGTACAAGGTCTATTTCTATAGATCCGATGATTGTTAAGACAGTGTTATCCAGAAAGCCACTTTTTAAAAATGTGTAGCACATTCTTTTTAGGTAAGATTGAAAAGTCAGAATTCTGATACCTCCTATCTGCACAGCATCCTCAAAGATGTGGCTTGACCCAGTCCTTCGTTGTATATTTATGAAATTTATGAATACTAAAAATTAAAGTGAGCTAGTTGGCTGTTTTGCTTTCTCAAAGTTAAAAAGTCACTCTGTATTATTTGCACATATAATTGTTTGGAAGACCTGGTTTAGATAGTACAGATGATAAATTGTCCCTATTTAGCTTTAGCAGAAACTCTGATCATGCATTTTAGATCGGTACTTGAATGAGCACCTACTAGCTGAGAAAGGCACTGTAGCAAGTCGATGTGTAGTCAGGCACATAAATTATATTTTTAGATTCAACGTCTTTGTATACCTAAGAGGGAAAAAAAACTAATAATAATCACTTTTAATAAAAAATAAGACACCAAATGAGACCAGAAGCATTTGGATTTACATCAAATAAAGCAGATTGTATGGGGAATTTTTTTCCCTAATATATTATTCAATACTCAGGATTCCTCTGGAATCTTAAACTGAGTGTTTCAAAGTAAATGATTATATTCAAGGTGAAGGAGAGATTTGCTGACACAGTATAATATTTGATTTTGGCAGTGGGTGTTATAAAAATGTTCTTAATTTTCCTCCCCTATAGAAGAATACCTTCATATATGAAGATCTGTTCCTTTCCACTTCCTCACATGTTACTCTAAATCCTTCATTGTGAACCTCCCAAAAGGAAAATTGCTACATCCAAGTAGCTAAAATATGATTCACTCTTGGACACAAAGCGCTTTTCTGTCTTGGCTTCCCAAGCAATGCTCAGGGAGCCTTGTCGTTGCTCCCAATCACAGCGTGGCTGCACAGGCCTCATGGCCCTACACTCTGGCCTAGTGACACCATGCCATTCTTCCAGGCAGCCACCGGGAACACCCCAAAGGTGCTGGGGGCACACGTGATGCTAGACATCAAACTCCTGCCTGCCAGTCATGTGCTCCAGCCCTTTAAGTTTTTCCCTGGACCACAGAAAGCTCCTTTTATACCAAATCATTTAGCTGTGCCTTGGGTCATTTCCTATGAGATTTGGTGATCTCCAAACAACACTTTAGTGAAACTCCAAACTTCCAGTGCGCATTATTTAAACCAATTAGTCAGCTGGCTGTAACTAAACAACAGGCCTGATAGACTAAACTGAAATAAAACTGCTTCCAGAGATAAGCTACATCTGCTGTGGGACTATGATCTAAGTCACTGAAGCCAGAGAAAAATTGTTTCTCGTCTTATATATTTCTTCAAAATTATAGAAAAAGGGACAGTTTGATTTTTAGTTTGACCACCAGGTAAACAAGTGTTTATTTGTTTGAGACAATTTCCCTCCTCTACCAACCCACCCCTCAGTAAAATTAGGAATGATTGTTAGGTAATCAGTAAGTTTGGGGGGGACTTAAAATTTGTAAACTTGGCAAACTTTCAGCTTTTACATGTAATTTGGTCAAGTTATGTTGTGAGATAGATTTTGTGAATATCAAAATTATTCCTATTAACCATTATTTGAAACATATAATTAAATCCCATGTTTGAATCGGTGGTCTGAGGGAAGATTACCAATGGGAATATGATCTTAGAAGCAAACTTTTCTCTTGTTAAGTGTAGAAAAGTGACAATAATAGAGGAATTGTGGAAGTTTAGATATTCTTGAAAAGAATTTTCCTCACATCAGAACAGTTATAATGTGTGTATTGCAAAAGAGGGAGAAAAAGATATTTCTATATGGGTATATAGCTGTATATGAATATAGATTGATGAGCAAGAAGTGTTAAAGAACTTCAGGTATTCCATTCTTAATAACTTAAAATTCTGGAGATCTGCATTGGGAGTTACCTTATTCCCACTCCTTTGGGGAAGAGGGCACCAGTCTTGGCTACTTTCCAGAAGCTGCCTACATTTCCTTCTGTAAATCTCCTCTGACAAGAACCTGTGGCCACCCAGCTATCACCCTGGGAAGTAGGAAACAACTGGCCTTTGAAGTCCCTGTGCAAACAAAGCACTCATATTCCTGTTAGCCAGGATTCTTATCTTATCATTTGAATGATTCTCTTTAGGAAAGTTGTGTCGGTCAGGAATTTGCCGGAATGGCTGGACAGACACTGCAGACCAAGATTTTGGCTCTCTCCGCTACCAGAAGGAGACAGAAGTTTTTCCTTCTGTTGAAATTGGCTTCAATCAAGGAAATTACAAAAAAGCCACTGCCCCCTTCATGTCACAGGAATCAGTGGCGCTCTTTTTATAATAATTTTCCTTGTCAACTGGGTCCATATTTCATGAATCTGTTACTTCAAGACACTGCATTGTTACTAGCTTGGTCTTTTATTAACACCTGCCTGTACAGGTTAAGCTTGAATGAGGAAGGTGAATTTAATAAGTCCCTTGTTTCTTCGCAGACACTGAGACTTGTGACTACGGCTGGCACAAATTTCAAGGGCAATGCTACAAATACTTTGCCCATCGACGCACGTGGGATGCAGCTGAAAGAGAATGCCGTCTGCAGGGTGCCCATCTCACCAGTATTCTGTCTCATGAGGAACAAATGTTTGTGAATCGTATGTACCAAGTCTACAGTTTCCTGAAATTCCCTTCTTTCTTACCACAGGCTCAGCTCTCTTGTATCTAAGGAAAAGAATTAGCTTTTCCAGTTGTCATTAATTTTACTACATCCCTTCTCTCTGAATGACTTGGAATCTTCTGAGTCCTCTCTCTGCCTAGGGAAACATTCAGCTATGACCTAGGAACATTGCTTGGGTGTGCAGCTATAATCAATGAGCAGTGTGTTATAGGTTGTGATATGAACTTACTAGTTGATCTTTTTTTCAACTGATCAATGGCTATTTATCATTGATCAATATAATTATCCTGGTTACCTTTGTGGTCTCGATTTGAGTATGGGAATAAGTTGTTTAAAGTTCGGGAAATTATTTTTAATTTTTAGGACACTAATTAGAAACATGTTATTAATAGCACCTCCATCTTTTACTCTGAATGTAATTGGTTCTTATCCAAGTTTCTTATAATTCTTAGACCAGAGGTTTCCATTTTTTTTTGTTTTCTGCCCCCTTTTAAGAAAAACCGAAAACCATGCAGTGCCCTCCTGAAAAATCTTCTTTCTTTACGTGAACATATAGAAGACACACTCAATACTATTGTGACACTTCTTGGATTATTCCAGTATACAAGAAATTGGGCTTCATATGAATCAATGAAGACTGAAAACTAATGCAACTTAATATCAGACCTTTTTTTTTTTTTGCCCACCCCATGGTGTTCAGGGCTTACTCCAGGCTCTGCACTTAGAGATCACTACTGGCTTGCTCAGAGGGACACACAGGGTGCTGTGCAATGCAAACTCCCAACCCGCTGCACTTTTGCTCAGGCCCTTTAGTATTCAAAATTTTAATATAACTCCTCAAAGAATATTATAGCAAAAGGCAGCTGGCTCTTCTTTGGTAGCAAGCATGGAGAAAGTCTTTGCTCATAATACATTGCTTGATGTTCTATTAATTATGTTCTCATGATGCCTACTATCTTAGGAATTTGACTTGTTAGTTTTCAATCTGTATAAAAGTTCATGTAACTTTCATGTTAGAAATTATGACTCGTATTATAAGAAATTATTTTTGAGGGTGATTTTGTAAAACACTGGTTCACTGTATACTTTCAGAAAGTACATAACTTCCACTGTGAGACTCACAGGAATATGATGCCACAGTTTATTGAGTGGGTTACTGGATTTTTGTTAATGGCACAATGTAGAAAAATAGATCTTATCATTAGATAAGTAATCATAAAATAACTAAAATAAAAATAATTGAGGTAATTATGTCTGAGGATGCTTCACAAAACTTGCAAGCTAGCTTTTTATTTCAAAGCACATTGGGAAAAGACAGATAAATCATGAAACTTTTTACAGGTAATGTAACAAGATAACTATCCAGAAGAGAATGCATGATTCACTTAAAAAAAAAGTTTTCTTTGATGCATGTCATCCATAAGTGGGAAAGTTAATAAAATATCTGTGTTGTTTCCCTTCTCTTAGGCTTAGGCCATGATTATCAGTGGATAGGCCTCAATGACAAGATGTTTGAACATGATTTCCGTTGGACTGATGGCAGCTCACTGGTAAGTTGCTAATAAAAATGATACAAATTCTAAGAACTCAGGACTGTGCACTGATTGTATGTAGCAGAGTGTATGTCAGACTGGAGAGGAGGTAAATGACTTGCTCAGGGTCACTCATAAGAGAGGCATTAGCAGAGACTTCTATTCAAACTGATCCATCTAGGGAGTTACTACAGTTATTGTAATACAGAGTTCATGAGATTAACACTGAACAAGAAAATTGCATGATCAATCAGAATTGCCTTAGATCTGTTTATCAGATAGTTACCTTTGTTACTGCTTCTAAGCAAAAAAAAATGAATAAATGCAAGAGAACAGGCCTTAAAAATTACCTTTCATTCTTACATAATTACACTGGAAATCTGCTATATGGCGTGACACTTTTGTGGGGGAATTGCTCCCAAAAAGTGATCAGGAAGTTTCAGGAGACTACTGACAGCAAGGCACACAGGATGCAATTCTACTCAGGCCCTGTATTTCCAGGGATAAGTGGATAGTGCTGCATGGGGGCAGACTGGCACATACCCTTGATGCTCACATCCTCCAGGCATATAATCAGATTTGCTTTGGGGAATGGAATGAGGGTTCGATGTATGCTACATAAACTCTAACTATTGTACAAGTTCTGGCCCAAATGTGGCTCATTTTATCTAAGAAAAAATAGCTCATTTTTCTTTCACCTTAAGAAAAATTGATGAATTACGATCTTGTGAGTTTCCGTTCTTTAAAACTTCTGATCACTTCAATCATTTTTCTTTAGCTTTGTTTACTTTCTTACCAAACGAAGTGACTTAGAAATACTGGCTAGCTCCTGCAGTAGGCTGGAATAAGTTTCTTCAGGAAACTCTCAAGACAGATGAAGCTGTTTTGATTCACTACAAATAAATTCATGAGTCCAATTCATTAAGAATTGGCTATATTGGTGCTTCTAGATGCTAGCTGCTTATTAGAATCAACTGAGGGGTGCCATTAACTGCCCAGGCCTCAGGCCAGATTAATTAAAGGAGAAGCTCTGAATGTCTCCCAGGTGATTCTAAAATGCAGCCAAATTTGGGATACACTGAGCTAGACCTGACGTGTAAATTAAATTCTAAATTGAATAAATAAGAGTAAACATTGAAATTAATCTTTGGTCTCTTTTTATGAGTTACTTTGGTGCTTAAATTTCTCTCGCTAGCTGCCACTTTGGGGAGTTAATGAGTTTGGCAAAGTGTAAGACTCATCCTAGAAAGGATGCCAAAATAATCTCTGCTTTTGGAAGTTTACTCTGTCTAGGAAAGTTTCTTGGATCTTCTGAACATCCTTCTCAGTTCATCTCTGTGCTATGCTAAAGCATTTTGCATTTGTTTTATCCCATACAACAACTTTCAGGAAATCTTTCTGTGTTTTGCAGGGAATGGAATAGAAGGTTAGCTAGGCTGAGCTGTTTACACAGAGTCACAATGCTATGAAGTGGTCAGGTTGTATTAGAACCATCAGGCTGGCCTCCATAGCCACAGGTCTTCTTCTTAGAAAGAATATTTTCTAATTATTGTGGACAGCTAAACCTTGAAAATAGATTGGTTACCATTTGTCATTTAATATATGCTATATGTAGACATTTATACACAATTACACACCAAAAACAAATGAATTGTCCCTTGTCTAATGTATATTTAATTCCTATAGAATAAGTTGGGCTTCCTTAATGCTCACTATTAAATATTCTTCCACAAACTTTCCACAAAAATATCCTATGAACACTGCAGGTCTGTGTGAATTCCCCACTCTGATATAGGAGCCAGAACGCCAGGAACTCAGGTGGCACCTCTGGCAGGACTTAGATGTACCTTGCACGCCGAGACTAGGGTTTATCTTAAAGTGTACCTGTTGGCTGGGTGCCTGTATATTCAGGCTCTGGGCCCAGACTAACTCACTTGGCTAGGTATAGCGTATGCAAATTCTGCCATTGGGTAAGTACTGAACTGACTGGGTCACACCTCAACAGCTTCTGATTGGTTGTGAAGAATTTATCTGTGAGTTTCTTCTTAGCATCCTGTGCTTCTCTGTGCTTTTACTGTTTTCTCTTCTTTAGCTATTTTGCTCTTCAAAGGACTGGGTTTTTATGTGCTTTTTCTTCTCACAGTGTCTTGAATAAGGCTGGTCAATAAAGCAGTATTGGTGTACTGTAGGCACCTCTGTGAGGACTGTAGACACCTTCTAACATTTCTCTTCCCTGCCCGGTGTCATTTAAGTGTGGGTCACTCATTCAAGTGGGGAGGGGTCATCATTCCATTACACTGAAGCAAGTCAACTAATTGGAGTGGTGGGGAGGAGAAGTAACTGTCCATTTATTTTTAATGAACTGGGAATATCTTTTTTTTCCTTTGTGGGTCACACCCGGTGATGCACAGGGGTTACTCCTGACTCTTCACTCAGGAATTACTCCTGGCGGTGCTCAGGGGACAATATGGGATGCTGGGAATCACGGTTCAGCCGTGTGCAAGGCAAACCCCCTACCCCGCTGTGCTATCTCCCCAGCCCCCCTCTTTTTAAAAAAATAACCAGTCTTTTTGTAGTCTAGTCTGGTCTCAAATTTGATTAAATAAATGATCACTACATTTTGTGAAGAAGGAAGGACTGATATTTCTCTGACATACTCTGGCTTACTAAGGAGAAAGCAGCAAGTAAAATTTCAGTTTGGAGAAGGCAGGAAATGCATTCCATAAACAGGCAAAGTTCATCAAAGAAATGGCATGAGTCAGTGTAGAAGAAACTCAGGTCCTTGGTTTCTTCTTAAACCACTCTTTGTATTAAACAAAGTGTGCTAAGGAGAATCCTTTGACTAAGAACATTTTGGACCAGAAAAGAACATCTGCCCAGCACTCTCTCTCCCTCCCATTTGACTGATCTTTGTCCCACTTGCCTGCCTTTTTAACCACCAGTTCCTCTATCCTTCCTTCCCAGAACAACCTAGGTGTGTCTTAACACGTTTGTAGTTCTCTCCTCAACCACCATCCTTTTAACGTGTTCCACATGTGTGCAGACATTTGAATAATATAGTTCCCCTTTGTCTTACTGTTTACTTCAAGTGTCTTGCTTTTGAAAATAGCCCTACTAGTAAATTCTTCAACAGGAAGAGCAGTATCTGCTTACCCTTGGAAATGATCTTAACTTGACTGTGTGCAGTTTTAAGGACTTTGTTTATGTTTTAGAGTGATTTTGCACCCTTTCATTTTTTGGTTGGATTTACTAGAGTTTACACATCTTGGGAGGTAGAGTAGTTTTAAAACAAAAAATAACCTTTAATCTTTGTAACATATTATTTTTTGTTACTCAGTAGTATTATTCAGTAAAAACAAGTATCTTTGTATTAGGTTTAGTTTGTAAGCTCATTGAAGTAATCGAGCTTCACTTCAAATAATCTTGCAAGATGACTGTATCATATTTAAGATGATTATGCTTATAGCTATATTAGTTCAGTTTATATTCTTATACTAAATTAATGATGTTTGCTAGACAAGTTATTTAAATTGAACTTCTTCAACTTTTAATCCATTCTGCATTATTTGATTAGAGCGTTGGTACCATTCATTAATAAAATATCAAATGCTTTTGCTACATCTTAAGAATATTCCTTGTCACTTAAATTGGGTGCTTTCTGAATAGATTTACAAAAGTATAATCATGAATAAAATAGCTCACATTTTACCCCTTTGGTTTAAATTAAGGTCATTTTCTTTGAACACATTCACTTTATCACTTGGTTTTCTGCTAACAAGTTATTCTTTAACTTGACTATTGATGTGAAATGCCCCAACTGCTTGAATAGAAGTCCTGACAAGTTCAGTAATGAATTACTTCACTTGTCACCAAGTTATGTCTTCAAAGACACTAAGTTAAACTATCCAAGTTAAATACACATTAAAGCTAGCAAACTTAAACAAATGCTTCTTATCTAGCTTCTATACTGTGAGCTGACTTTTAAGTTCTTTCCTTAACCAATTGTTAAATGAATGACTAGTCTGAAGTCTTTTTTCTCAGATCAGTTTTTCAGTACCTGTGACCCTTTTCTCCCTCACTGTGACCTCTTGTTCCTCCCTTCTTCTCATTCTTCAATGTCTTTCTACAGCCTTCAATATAAAGTTCTAATTATTAGCCTGGCACACTGAGTCTATCAACTCCATCTGCCACTTTTTAAGCTCTGTCACCTCAGAATAATCAGTTCCTAGAATAAGACATGATATGACCCCTGTGGGCCTCTGCTTACTCTTGATGCTTACCTAATGCTTAGAATGTTCTTGTTTCTTGCCCTAATTTCACTGAATAAACCTACAAATACTTAGTGTGCCAAGAGACTCCTTCCACAAGGTCTTGCTGGCTGGGTGTGACTAAATCTTCTCTCTGTATTTCTGCAGCCCTTCTCAACCCATTCCTACTCTACTCCTTCCCTGGCACGGATGGAGCAGGGATTCACTTGGGCTTTGTTTTCTTAGCAAGAGTGGTTGACAGGGGGAAAAAGAGAAACTTTCTTTTTTACATGTTTTTGGAATGATAATATTTATACATTGTTCAACCAGCTCTATTATCTTTCGACAGTTGAAATAAATAGTTAATGTTTTGGCTCAATCTCTTCCTAACATTCCTGTGTATTCCTTTGTGACATTTTTTTTTTCTTTTGAGCTTCCCAAAAGGTGCTCAGGGGGTCAGCTCACCAGCTATTTTTGGCCAACCCATCCAGAGGTTCCATGTGAGCACGTGAGCACGTGGGAGGGTGTGATGTTCAGGGGATTATCTGGGCCATCCTGGCAGTGCTCAGAGACCTACAGAACCACACCTGACTGGCTGTTCTCTCGGAACCCTGTGGGGCTGAGGATTGAATGGGGGTAGTCCTCATGCAAGAATGTCCCTTAATCCTTGTACTGTCTCTTACCCTAATCTTTATGAAACTTTCTATTTATTTAAGTATTGTAGAAGCTGGGGGCATGGTTTCTTCATAGAGCGCCGGCTTCTACTAAATG